GCGATTGGGCGGCCTGCGATGACTTCGACGCCTTCCTGCGCGCCCTCCAGACGCGCTTCGAGGCGGAAGGCCGCCGCGGCGCCGGGCGGGCCGCGACGGCGCTGCGGGGCCTGCGGGTTCGGCAAATCGCGGACGATCTCGCCCGCGCGCGCGTGGCGGAGGCCGACGAGGACGCCGCCCTCCTCAGCCGATTCCCCTTTCTCGCCCCCCAGCGCCAGATGATGCCGCTCGCGCCGCTTCGCCTCCTCCAGGACGACATTTTTGCGGGTTTGGCGGCCAGGCGGCGGCGGCTTTGCGACGGCGACGGCGTCCCCGCCCTGGCGGACAAGGAGAATGACCCAACCGCCGAAACCCACCTCGCCCAGGTGGAGGAAGCGATGCAGACGCGATGTAGTGAATTGATGGCGGAATTCCAGACCACAGAGGGCGCCCTGCGGGCCCGCTTTCCCTTCCTCAACGCCCATCGCCTGCCGGTGCGGCTGCGGGACCTGTCCTTGGCGCTCAACAAGCCTTTTATGCGGTTGTACAAGCAATATCGCGCCTTGGCGAACCCCCTGGAGGACCCGGAAGGGGAAAAACTCGAGGGGGCGATGTCCAACCTCGCCGCGACGCTCGCCGCCCGCGCGGCGATGTTAAAATGGGGCCATTATACCCAACGCGCCTCTCTCGCGGCGGCGTTTCCCTTCCTTCCCGCGGACCCGATAGACGGCATCGCCCTGGAGGCGGTCGGGGTTTGGCAGGATTGGGAGTTCCGCCAGCTCGCCGGCGCCCTCGACGCGGAACGCGCGCGCGAGGCCGGGGGAAATGCGGAACTAATCCAACATTTGACGGAATCCCTCGCCGGGCGCGTGCAGAAGTTGGCGGCGGCGAAGTGGGACCGCGTGCGGGCCCGCCGCGCGCGGTATCCGCACCTCCCGATGCACGTGAATGGGGTGCTCGCCTGCGAGCTCGACCTTCCCGACCCCGCGGCGATGGACTTCGGGGACAAAAAGGCAGTCCTGCAGGTCTACCGCCTCGCCGCCATGGTCCAGCAGGAGCGGGAATTTGGCGAGTTCGCCGCGAACGAGGCCGTCCGCGCGCGGAATTCCTTCTGGCCCTTCCCCGACGTCCTCGGCGTCCCGCTTCGCGAGGTCGTCCTGACGACGAAGTCGGACTACTTCGACTACTTCCGAAGCCGCCTTCGGGCGCTGCGGAAGCGGACGGTGGATTGGCAAAAAGTCGCGTACCACGACGACGTCCTTTGCGAATTGCTCAAACGCCAGGCCCGGCGGCAGAACGCGTGGGTGCAAAGCGCCCTCGCCCCGCCAGCGGCCGCGGCCGCGAGGGCCTTGGCGGCGAGAATGCCGCTTTTCGAGTGGGGAATGGCCCGCGGCAAAATCACCGAAAAGTCCAAACGCGGCATCGACGAGGCGGAAAG